CACCTATCCGATGCTGAAAATCATCATGAATATAATGGCAAAAGGCACAGAACTAGGTACTTTCCGCAAGTTCTTCCTGTCGCTCCGACCAACTTGCGAAAACGAAGTCAAATTAACATCGTAACGAGCAAGCAATAGGATTCTTACTTTACTTTCTTATCCAGAAGCATTTAATAAACGGAAAAATTAGTTCCGAGTGATACATATTATAAATTCAGCTGTGGTTAAATAAGATAAAAATAAGCAGGTGATCACTGAACAAATTATTTAAACAAACAACGTAGATACTATTAAAATCAAAGTAATTTAAAAAATCAAATTTAAAGATTTGATTAAATTATAAAAAGAAGGATGCCGAGAGAAACCCTATATTTAAGGACGAATTTCAAATTTAAGGCACAAGGAATGAGCTAAATAGCCAAATTTTTGTATACAGCTAAATCAAGCTAATTAGGTTCAAATATTATTACCAAGTATAGTAGCATAATTAGATAAATTTAAAACATGGAAATTGGAAACATCATAATCCAATACGTATCGTTTGATAGTATGGGCAATTAGAGGCATGTATCATAATTTTGCTAAGCTGAAACTACATATAGCTGAAAGGCTGGGACAATTTTCCCATAAAACTTCGACATCAGTACATTTTAGGCGATGATACCTTCGATAAAAAACTAGTTCAAGAAAATAGTGATTTCAGAGAAGATTTTTAGAAGTTACTACTACCCAGGACCGTAATAAATAATAGATCAGTGTGACCGTAAAAGTTGCCTAGAGAGTCTAAAAAACTAAAACAAAAAAGGAAGATTCGAATAAGGGAAAAGATATCGAATGAATAAAAGTACTGGACTAGGGATCGAAAAAGAGGTGGAATTTGTCTTGACATTAACAAGGTTGGCTTGCCTGCTAACAGAAGAGATGTGGGTTGCTGTATATGTGGAGGATGAGCATTGCAAAAAGTGCTGCATTTTGGTGGTAGGCTCATGTTCCAATCGCTGACGAGAGAAATATTGAAGAGCCTACAATACTGCTCGGTTATAATTGCTCGCTTCGAAGAATCTATAGCATCGTTTTTTCGAGTTGGCCAATTAAAGTTAGCCGAGCTACTGGACGTGACAGTCTCAGACTTGCTAGAAGAGTTGGGCTGAATCATGGCTTTCACATTACCATTCGAAATACCGACTACACCCGTTGATATATTGCTGTCCTCATCGTCTGTTAATACACTATCTTCGGAAGAGTCTAACAGAGACTTTCCGATTGCGATGGGCGACATTATCTACAAAAGAAATAAGAAAAAGTATTTAAATCAAAACAAGGAAAGCTACAAATTGATTGCGTAAGATCTGCTGGATATTCATAGCAGTCCATAATTGCAAGAAGTTGACCTGAATATAGAGGTGTATTATTCATTTTTACCCATTATTTTACCACAGTTTCTATATAGGCGAAGACAAGGGATAGAGTGATGTGCATTCAACCGAGAATGCCAAAAATGGATAAGCACAATTCATAAGTTAAGGCATTAGGTTAAAGTTAGAATATGAAAATATCTTGGATTCAGCTCGTGTCGGAGATATCGGAGCGCAGGCAAAAATAAAAATATAATCCACGATAAATGAGTGCACTTTTGGAGTAGAATGAATAAACATTCAGTAGCTTCCAAGTAGCCTAATAGGTATGATCTTTTTTTAAAATTGAGAGAAAACACTAGCCAACAAAATGAAAAAGGGAATAATAGGTCGAGAATTTAATTATGAAAAATAATTATTCCATTATAAAAGCTTTTAAATATCATTCTTTAGTTTGGGTAAAAATGGTCCAAAAGTATAATGGAATAACTCGTCATGTCAGATCCAAACAGTAGTGACCAAATAAGTTCCACCAAAAAAGTAAATAAATTAGGTTCTATGCTTAACACACTGAATGTAAGTCTGGAGAGTAAAACTATAATCTCTAAAGCATAAATTACGGGTTTGGAAACGAATATGGAGTGCCAATGAAAACAATATGAGTTCGAAAATACAGTACACTTGGGAAAAAGTACTTTGGAATGTGGCGATAGAACGCGGTAAAATTACGAAATTATACGCCGCACTACCTGCATTGGAAACTGCAATCCAGTCTAGCTTGGATAAGAATACCTTTTGAGGCAGGGCCAAGTGAAAGGCAATTGCATCAAAATCTACTTGTAAAATTGTGTGAAAATGTAGTTATTAGTCCAGCATCAGCTTATGCTGTTATTCAAGATCTACTGATAGTTTCGAAACCTACTCAATGAGAAATACTTAGTGTCTAAGCATGTATGGAATCGTTGAGCTGCTTTTGAGTAGAGAAATATTAATTATAGGTAATAGACATTATTAATATAGATACGAAACAGAGCACCAAGAGATGTATGAATTCCACAGAAAAATAATTTAGGAGTCGGAATCCAGAAAGAGAATACAGATCATCTTTAAATGAAGAGACAAATATTCACCAAAGCTTTTCAAAATAAGCTTACATCCATTCTTCAAACCTACTGAGTACTCGTAAAGTTAATCCGAAAAGAAATTAATGAAAAATGAAAAGACGTGGTTATGGTTGAAGACACTTTATCTTACAATTGGCATTCTAATAAAGAGACAAAGAAAAATCGAGACCAATTTTGCATTTATCAACGAAAAACACGGACTTATATTTAGAAATTCTGAGAAAAAATGACCAAAAAGCCTATTACCTCATCGCACAAGTTAGGATCCGGCAAAGATGGAAAAGAGAATCGGGCGGCTCTAAGGCGCATCATTATAGCAGCTTGAAGACTGGCATAGGTGACAAGGACCTCGTGGCCAGACGCTGAATTTGGGGCCAAATGTAAGAGAAATGATGTCCAATCATAAGGTTTAGTGGATCTGGAAAAAAAACAAAGATGATAAATGGATGAAATAATAAAATTAGCATAAGATGTAAATGCAGAATAAAAGGCTTGATGTGTGCCCAGAAGTTAGGGGCAGATGGAACTGCAAACGCTCCACACAGAAAAATTGTTAGAGATTCGATGTTGGCAAAGGATTTAACTAGAATTATGTAAGAAATAGTCTAAAGACCCAAGCTTTGTAGCGAATATGGTTTATCGTTCACCAACCAAAGGGATTAGTTTCAAATTATGAAAAGGAAAATATCTAGGACCGAGAGCATTTAATTACCACTTAATTGCAAGAATTTTTTCGTTACAGCCAAAATAAGGTCACAAGGGGCCTTCAGCACCCTACTTGTACTATTAATGATTTTGTCGACATGAAAAACTATTGATACGAAAACAGATAATGATGAATATCAAATACTGAATAGGTATTAATATGAAAATTTAGATGTCTAGCATTGATATCGTAAAGATGAAATTCCACAAGTGGTGCAGTCAATTGATAAGATGAACTACACTATGGATGAAGTCAGACTTACAACTTATTGCGCATTCATTTTTTTCACATATCAGTCGGCAATTATTTCGGTATTTACAAACCTTATAGGACAAAAACTCAAATTGGTATGGCAAAATTTGTTCATAAGCCTCCTAATGCATATGGTATGCCAAAAATTGACAGGAAATCCCAATCGAAATACTTGTGAATAATAAATGGTTGTGTAATGCATAAAACATCACTATTTATTTGTGGTCAAATAAAGCAAATCCCAGGATTTTAACAATTTTCAATAAAGAATTTGTATGACTTTATTAAATAAGTAGATGGCCAATTGACACAAGAAGATTTGCCTCCAAGTTTTGATTCAGTTTCGATGCACACTAATATACCGGTAAATGGGGTCATACAGGCTTTAAACCAACACCCAGATATTATATAAGGAAATAAGATGAGCAATGACTCAATTATGAAAATGATGAACTTAGCAATGAATCGTATATATCTTGCCCTTAATGGCAAATTGTATGAGCAAACGAGCCATGGGATGGTGTTTCTTTCCGATTTAAGCGAATAACTAAATAGCTCACTTTTTCAAGAAGCACTTATAGTTTCGAAACTATTAGTCAGAAATATAGATGACGATTTCGCTATCTGGAAGTATGGCAAAGAGTTTAGAAGAATTTCTTAGGTTAATGAATAGATTAGACAAGACGAAGGAATTAACTATGGAATTAGCAAAGTACAGTAAGTTACCCTTTATAGATTTCCTAGTTAGTAAAGGGGAACAATTGGTTAGAGATATATGT